TACAAATACCATGGTTAAACTATGGTTGGTGTAGCAAAACCATGGTTAATTTGTGGTTACCATAGTTGAACTAAATAAACCATATTTTATTATTATTATTATTTAATTTGGTTTTATTTGTGGTAAAACCATGGTTAATTTTCATAAGGGTAGTGGCAGACACTATTTGCACCTCAGTTAATAGCAGAGCATTATAAAACATGTAGCCTAACAACACATTTAGGCTAGTGTACATACAGATCTATACATGTTAAAATCATTACAGATGCAGCTTATCGGGGGTTTGGTTCCTAAAGTACATTCTTATACCTAATTCTGTCCTGCTAATCCACGTGGTTCCCTCGAAGGGAGCCACGGTTTTGATGGTAACAGTTAGCTGATCGATATGCGTCACATCCAATTTTACATTGTTCTAAAATATTAGTAGGCCTATGTATATAGGCTACCCCCTTAGGCACTATATTTTCCACTTTTAGAATATGTTTTTATCTAAAATAAATGCCTTTCCGAGCTGTTTTGAGAATGGGAATTGAGAGAATAACGGAAACAGGAAAAGACAGAACTCTAGCTGTTCGGCGAATGGGAATTGAGAGAATAATGGAAACAGGAAAAGACGGAACTCCGGTCAGTCGGTCGCTCCAAAAGCAACAGGGGCATTATCCAGAAATTTTACAGCCATTTCCATTAACCCTAAAAGACAAGGTGAATGTGATTTCACCAAGTGCAACATGTTCCTGGAACAACATTCAAATCAACCAATCAGAACTGAGGGATAAGTTTACTAGAAATGTCAATTTTAGAGTTAGGTGCTTCTACACCCTTGTTATTCAACCATCATTTCCCTCTGATTTTTGGGATAAATTATGGGTAGGGTTAGGTTTAGGGGTAGGGATAGGGTTAGGTATATATTTTTGGACAATAATGTTGATCCAGGAACATGTCTTACTTGGCAAAATCACGGTGACCGAAAGACAACGCAATGAAGTGCAATAGATTCAAAATACAGGTGAAACACCTGTATAAAAAAAAAAACAAAAAAAACAATAATACAGAAAAGTGTAATAAACTTAATTCATATTTTTTTTAGCATCGTCCCCATTGAGCAATACAGGATTTTCTTTCTTTCTTTCTTAAACTTTATTTTAATTCTCATCAGGTATTTAACTCTTATTATAGACTAAAAAAATGTCAGTATATTTGCCAGCACTGCAGATGTCCGTGTTGTAGATATCCAAGCAATAATTTGAGACACAAAAAATACTGTGATTATGTGAATACTTAAGCCACAAGCCACATGTATGTTTCCTTATTTTAGAGGATAGTAGCACACGCATAATTTAAGCAATGCATTTCACAAAAAAAAAAAAAGATTTTACAGAATAATATGTGAAGCATAAAGGCATATTATAGTCAATACAAACTACAGCGTCAAAAAAGACTACT